AACAATCATTAAACTCACCAAAATAGAGTTATAAAATTCAATAATAGGGTTTAATCTCCAACATTTATAGGGAACTCATACAACTTAACAAAAGGAAGATAAACAATCCAATCAAAAAATAGGCAAAGGACCTAAATAGACACTTTTCAAAAGAGGACATTCAGAAAGCCAAAAGACATATGAAAACATGCTCAAAGTCACTAATCATCCGAGAGATGCAAATCAAAACAACAATGAGGTACCATCTCACACCTGTCAGAATGGCTATCATCAACAAATCAACAAATGACAAGTGCTGGAGAGGATGCGGAGAAAAGGGAACACTCATGCACTGCTGGTGGGAATGCAGACTGGTGCAGCCACTGTGGAAGACAGTATGGAGTTTCCTTAAAAAGTTAAAAATGGAACTCCCATTTGACCCAGTGATCCCACTTCTAGGAATATATCCCAAGAAACCAGAAACACCAATCAGAAAGGATATATGCATCCCTATGTTCATAGCAGCACAATTTACCATAGCGACGATCTGGAAACAGCCTAAGTGCCCATCAGCAGATGAATGGATTAGAAAACTGTGGTACATCTACACAATGGAATACTATGCTGCTGTAAAAAAGAAGGAATTCTTACCATTTGCAACAGCATGGATGGAACTAGAGAGCATTATGTTAAGTGAAATAAGCCAGTCAATGAAGGAAAAATACCACATGATCTCACTCATTCATGGATAATAAAGACCATTATAAACCGATAAACAAAAATAGATACAGAGGCAGAGCAGCATCGAACAGACTGAAAAACTACAGTGGGAAGGCCGAGGAGGGTTGGAGCGGGGGTGGGGTAAGAGATCAACCAAAGGACTTGTATGCATGCATATAAGCGTAACCAATGGACACAAGACACTGGGGGGTAGGGGAGGCCAGGGAAAGGTCAGGGGGGGGAGGGGAGAGGAGACATATGTAATACTCTTTGTAATACTTTAAGCAATAAAACAAAATTTAAAAAATAAAATTAAATAGTTGCAAAAAAAAGAAAAGAAATACTTCAGTTATTTTTAATGGGAAAAAATTCAATGATAACAAAACGGAAAACAGGTACACTTAAATATATTGCTATTAGCACTGTAAACTTTTTATGGATAGAAAAATCTAATGACAAAGTTAACAAAAACTATCAAGACCTGTTCTTTTTCATGTTCATAAAGTATTCTTTGATTGGCTAATTCTGCTTTGGGGCACACAAATCATGAAAATAACCCTAAATAATGATAACAGCAGAAAGAAAGGAGTACCAAGATGTGCAGCGCTATTTACAATATAAAGATTTGTGGACTCATACATACACCAAATAGAAGAGTCAAACAAAATGTAGCATAGAGTCACAATGGAATAAAGTTATTAAAGCTGAAAATTATGTAGACTAAGTCAATACTCAAATATAGTGTATATAGATTACATATATAATGTTTTACACAAATTTAAAACAATATGGACTCACTGATTACAACTATGTCATGTATGTATGTCTGTTTATTGATAAAGATTAGAAATTAACATGGAATGATGCAGCTTTATAATCTTTAAATTCTTATTTTGTAAGGTTGTTTAAATCATGATAGACAAACTAAACATAATAGCTCTGAACAGTCAATCCTAAAAAAACCCCACAAAATTTTAACTTTACATTCTAGTAACTACACATTTCACAAGTTTAAGTAAAGCTTGTAAAACTTACTCCCTTTGTCTCTCATCTTATCCAAATCTACAACATCCAACTTTATTTATTAAGAAATACACGTTTTTCCTAGAAATATATAACCTTCCAAGACTAAATCATGAAGAATTAGAAAATCTAAACAGACTGATCAGCAGTGAGGGAACTGAAACAACCATCAAAAATCTCCCCAAAAAAACAAAAGTCCAGGACCAAATGGCTTTATCAATGAATTTTACCAAAAAAATTGAAGAAGAGGCAATACTTTCTAATACATTTTATGAGGCCAAAACCTGGCAAGGATAACACACACATAAAAAGAAAACTCCAGACCAGTATCTCTGATGAATACAAATGCAAAAATCCTAAACAAAATACTAGTAAATCGAGTACAACAATACATAAATAAATAAATAATACATCACGACCAAGTGGGGTTCATTCCAGGGGCACAAATTTGGTTCAATGTACGCAAATCAATCAATATATTAGTACATTAACAAAAGAAAGGATAAAAATCATATGATCTTATCAATAGACACAGAAAGAGTATTTGATAAGATACAACATCCATTTATGATTATAATACTCAATAAAATAGGAATAGAAGGAAAGGACCTCACCATAATAACGGCCATATATGATAAACCCTCAGCTAATATCATACTCAATGGTGAAAAACTGAAAGCTTTTCCTCTAAGATCAGGAACAAGACAAAGATGTCCACTCTCACCACTCTTATTCAACATAGCTCTGGAAGCTTCAACATAGCTCTGGAAGCTCTAGCCAGAGCTATAAGGCAAGAGAAAGAAATAAAAGGCATCAAAAGGAAGGAAGAAGTAAAACTGTCACTTTTTGTGGATGACATGACTCCGTATATAGAAAACCCTAAAGACGCCACCAAAAAAACTATTAGAAACAATAAACAAAGACAATCAAGTTGCAGGATATAAAAATCCATTGCTATCCTGTATACTAAAAACAAAACTTAAGAAAAAAAATTATTTTTGCAATTGCAACCAAAAGAATAAAATACCTAGGAATAAACTTAAAGAATGTGAAAGACCTATATACTAAAAATTACAAAACATTATTAAAACAGATTGAAAAAGACACAACAAAATGGAAAAATATCCCATGTTCATGTATTGGAAGAATCATCATAGTTAAAATGGCTAAAGCAATATATAGATTTAATGCAATCCCCATCAAAATCCCAATGTCATTTTTAAAAGAACTAGGACAAGAAGTCATCAGATTTGTATGGAACCACAAAAGACCCCAAATAGCCAAAGCAATCCTGAGAAAAAAAGAATGAAGCTGGAGGTATCACATTACCTGACTTCAAATTATACTACAGAGCTATGATAATCAAAACAGCATGGTATTGGCAGAGAAACAGACATACAGAATAGAGAGCCCAGATATAAAAACCACATGTATATGGGCAGAAAATTTACGACAAAGGAGCCAGAAGCACACATTGGAGTAAAGAGTCTCTTCAATAAATGATGCTGGGAAAATTGGAAAGCCACATGGAAAAGATTGAAACTGGATTACAGTTTGTCCCCATGTACAAAAATTAATTCAAAATGGTTCAAAGACCTAAATATAAAACCTGAAACAATAAGTTACATAGGCCCAGGCTAGTTTTGCTCAGTGGCTAGAAGGGTCCCTGGTTTGATTCTGGTCAAGGGCACATGCACAGGTTGTGGACTCGAGCCCCAGTGGGGGCGTGCAGGAGGTAGCCTATCAATGATTCTCTCTCATCATTGATGTTTCTCTCTCTTTCTCTCCCTCTCCCTTCCTCTCTGAAATCAATAAAAATATTTAAAAAAACAAATAAGTTACATAGAAAATACAGGTACCAAACTTATGGACCTTGGTTGTAGAGAACATTTTATGAACTTAACCCCAAAGGTAAGGGAAGTAAAGGCAAAAATAAATGAATGGGACTATATCAAACTAAAAAGCTTCTGCACAGCATAAGAAACTGACAACAAAACAAAGAGGCAGCCAACAAAATGGGAGATATTTGCAAACAGTGGCTCTGACAAAAGTTTAATTTCCAAAATATATAATCAACCCATAAAACTCAACACCAAACACACAAACAACCCAATCAAAAAATGAGCAAAAGACCTGAACAGACACCTCTCCCAAGAAGACATACAAACAGCCAACAGATATATGAAAAGATGTTCAACCTACTAGCAATTAGCAGAGGTGGGGAACCTTTTTTCTGCCAAGGCCATCTGGGTATTTATAACATCATTCTTGGGCCATACGAAATTATCAACTTGAAAATTAGCCTGCTTGCCAAAACCGGTTTGGCTCAGTGGATAGAGCGTCGGCCTGCGGAATGAAAGGTCCCAGGTTCGATTCCGGTCAAGGGCATGTACCTTGGTTGTGGGCACATTCCCAGTAGGAGATGTGCAGGAGGCAGCAGGTACCACCTCATGCCTGTTAGAATGGCTATTATCAACAAGACAAATAGTAACAAGTGTCGGAGCGGCTGTGGAGAAAGGAAACCCTCATTCACTGCTGGTGGGAATGTAAACTGATATAGCCACTACAGAAAAACAGTCTGGTGATTCCTCAAAAAATTAAGAATAGGACTACCATAGGATCCAGCAATGCCTCTTCTGGGTATCTACCTGAAAACCTCGAAATCATGTATTTGCAAAGATATATGCACCCCATGCTCATTGCAGCATTATGCATGGAGCCAAGACATGGAAACAACTAAAGTGTCCTGCAATAGAGGATTAGAATACTACTCGGGCATAAGAAAGGATGGACCTTGAGAATATTATGCTAAGTGAAATAGGTGAGTCAGAAAAAGCTAAGAACCATGATTTCACTCATATGTGGGATATAAAACTGAAATTCGTGGACACCAACAGCAGTGTGGTAGTTGCCAGAGGGAAGGGGGTGAAGGGTGAAGAGTACTTAATATATGGTGATGGGAGATTTGACTTGTGTGGTGGGCACACAATGCAATATACAGATCCTGTAACACAGAAACCCACACCTGAAACCTCTATGATCATATTAACCAATGTCACCCTAATAAATTTTAAAAAAAGAAATATACAATATTTACCCATAATTTACCTCCGATATAATGAGTTTAAAAAACAAACAAACACAAAAAAACTACTTCCAAGAAACAGAAGAGGAATTTTGAAATTTATCCACATTTATAAAACTTATGTAAACTGTCTACATTATTTATTCACTTAGCACACAGTATGCTCTCAAACTTAGAAGAGTATCACACATACCTGAAGCGATGACAGGATCCTGCATAAGCTCCCTAGTGATTGGACATATAAATTCATCAGGAATTTCAGAAGAAAGGGTTTTCACCTTTGTCCTGAGCTCTTCGATTTTCCTCAGAACTTTACTGCGCAGCCCTAGAGATTCTAAAAAGAAATTTACTCTGTTAGGACTGGAGAACTCCTGGTAACTTTTATGCAAATCTAACAAATAGAGGAAGATTTTATCTGTTACAAGTAAAAACCTTCAGACACTGTTTACCACATTGAACTGTTTTCTTTATAAATCCTTTCATGAATTTTTATAGTATAGAATATTGTGTGGTTAATATAAATCAGCAACTAACAAACTATTTATTCTAAACAATCTTAGATTCTTAAAGTTCCTCAATAATTTCAGATTGCTGAACACTAATATACTACACAAAATCAGAAAAGGCTTGTTATTATTGATTAGACAAAAGAATTCCTAAAAATAAATTTTAAAGATGGTCAGCATAATAATGTAAACAGCAGTATGATGATTGCCAGAGGGAAGGGGGATATGTGGAGGTAGAAGGGGTAAGGGGAATAAATAGAGATGGAAAGAGGTGTGGCTGGTGTGGCTCAGTGTTTGAGCACTGACCCATGAATCAGGAGGTCACAGATTGATTCCAGGTCAGAGCATATGCCCAAGTTTCGGGCTCCAATCCCAGTAGGGGGCGTGCATGAGGCAGCAGATCAATGATCTCTCTCATCATTGATGTTTCTCTCTCTCTCCCCCTTCCTCTTCGAAATCAATAAAAACATATTTTTTAAAAGAGAGACTTGACTTGAGGTGGTAAACACACAATATGATATACAGATGATGTGTTGTGAAACTATATAACCTATATAATATTATTAAACGGTCACCCCAATAAATTCAATAAAATATCCCATCTTATGTTTTTAAACTTTATGAAATTGGATATATTATTTGCTAATTCTCGTATGAAACACAATCACAAATAAAGTTCATCTGTTTGTTTAAGACTGTATACACGTTTCATTCATTTGTATTTTTACTTTTATCTTAAGTTTTAAAATTCTTAATTTTTAATTTCAGGAAGTTTAGTGTTACTAGCTGTTTAGAACAAGGTAATAGCACTACTTTAGGTGGAGGTGTTTGGGGTGCTGTGGATGGCAGAAAAGAATTACATTTCAGAATGCCCCATAGTTCCCATGAAAAGCACATCAATTTTCTTTCTATTGGTGTCTATACACACCTTGGAAAAGATAGCAGAGACACCTTTTCAAGGACATTTGCAAACATCCTTGGAAGCTAGAAAGTGTCTCCCTTCCAATCAGAAGGCAGGTCTGTTTCCAGATAAGTAAAAAGATAATGTCTTTTCTTGGGCTGGTTTGTTAGCAATCCCCTTATAAGATTGGCAGGGGTGGGTGGTAAGGGTTTCTCAGCTGTGACACAAACATACATTGGCCCCACAAGGCTTAGGGGGGAAGGGGAACCAATCTGAACATGAGGCTCATGCTGCCTGCTATGCCGTAAGCTGTTTAAATCTATTTGGACTCCCTGACCATACCAAAGGAAGTGTGGCAAGCCAACTTAGCAGCTGCCTGCCTCTTAGGGACTGCTCACTGCATACTGAGATTCCTACGTAATTCACGGAACCAAACTGAGGATTTGTTAAACAATTTTTAAAAAGCACCAGAGCAGGTATATAATTAGACAGTAGTCACCTCATTTAAAGGGATAATTATACAACATCTAATAAGAAGATATAAAAACATTTAATATTCTGAAAAATATATTTCCCATTCTGTCAAAAATATTATACATGGGCTAATATTTAGAATCTTATGTAATACTAGTAGCCCAGTGCACAAAATTAGTGCACATTAAAAAGGAATTAATTAGCGGAAATATTTTAATATTGCTATTTGCCCTTTCTCTATAATAGAAGTGTGAGAGATGAAAGGAAGTTAGTAAAATGTATATGAAAATAATGTATAAATTTATTAATAAACAGTAACAAAAGGATATAACAGAGGCATGATATAAAAACGACAAAAACATGATATGAAAACACCAAAAACATGATATAAAAACAATAAAAACATGATATAAAAACAACAGTGATCTAAACAATGATTGATAAAGTGATTAAACTTATTCTAATATATCCCTGTACACCACATTAAGAGTGAAAACACTTTCAGAGTGCTTGACTAATTTCCTTTGTGCTGAAGTATTTAGAACTTTAACTTTAACGTCACATGCTCTTCGACCTCGAGAGAAAGCAACATATAACTGACCATGTGGGAAAACGGGTTCAGGTAGGAATATGCCTACTCTGTCTAGAGTTTGTCCTTGTGATTTATTAATAGTCATCACAAATGCTGGCATCACAGGAAACTGTCGTTGAATTAATTTAAATGGGAGGCCAGTGTCAGATGGGGACAAATTAATTCTTGGAATCAGAACAACCTCTCCTTCTGTAAATCCTGTTAATACTTCAGTTTCGATAATGTTAGGTCATAATCTTTTGATAATAAATCTGGTGCCATTATAAAGACCCCATTTACTATTAAGATTTCTCAATAGCATGATGATTGCACCCACTTTCAATTTTAATTTATGACATGGCATTCCCAAAGGAGTAATACTATTAAGAAATTCGATGGGAAAATTTTCCTTTTCAGCATCATCTGTGGAATCAATGGAATCATCACTCAAATATGTGTGAAAATCTCCATCAAGTATATCCAAAATTTCTTCATTTAATTTGTGGACGTGCTCATTTTTTGGACAAAGAATTGCACGTTTAGATATATTTTTAATATTATCTATAGATATAGTATTTCCAAAGTTAGCTTCAATAATAGATCCATTAGAAATCATTTCACAGGGGATTTCAATAATATCCATTCCTAAATGAAAACTGATATCAAGTTTGCCATCTCAAAGTTTTACTAACCATTCACTATAAGCAGAATCCTCTGATCTCATATTTGTTGTAAGAGACAACTTTCTGAAACATCCCCAAACATTGCAGTATTTTAAACCCGTTTGTACTATGGCCGATCGCACAGCATGCGGTACAATACTGAGACAGTGTCGAAAATCCCCTCTAAGAAGGAGAACTTTCCCACCAAATACAACATTCAAATTTCTCTTAGTAATCTGTCTATGACGTTTATAGCATGACTGGATGCCATGGTGCATTCATCAATAATGAGAAGTTGGGCCTTTTTAATAGTTTTAGCAATTCACTGTTTATATCGAGTCTAGAAATTGAAGTTTCATTTAGTGGAATGGGTAATTTATATTGGGAATGAAAGGTGCTTCCACCGAGAAGTAAATTTGCAGCAAGTCCTGTAGACGCTGTGGGTAAAACACTACTACCATGACCTCTAATATAATGTATTAAAACTTTATAAAGATATGCCTCCACACTCCAAGGGCCGGTTCCTGCCTCAAATCTCGCCCTCCCTGGAAACAGCTTGGGGAGGGCGCAGCCCTTGGCAACTTGACCCAGAACTCAGTGTGTCCACACTCCGAGAGCAGGTTCCTGCCTAAAATCTCGCCGCCCTTGTGGGAAACAGCTCAGGGAGGGTGCAGCCGTTTCCAAGACAACCCCTGCAGGACTGACTTCCTTCCGGTTGGTCGAGCCTCGGTCATGATGTTACACCCAGGGTTTTTATATAAATAGATTTGTAATAGAGACTATAGAAAACCTCTTCAAAATATCCCAGATAAGAAAAAGTTAAATTGTGTGTAATCCTTGTCCAATTTTAATGTCATTTTTAAAAAGGAAGCAGTTACCAAGACAAATCCAAAGAACTTAACCAGAAAATAATCCCCTTTTGTGACTGGGAGTTGGGAGAAGTGTTGTTAAACTTAAATGCTCAGAAAGAAAGGACCCTTACCAGCTAAGATGGGCAATATCTGGCTATACAGGCATACCTTCGAGATATTGTGGGTTCAATTCCAGACCAACGCATAATCTTTTTGCTGGCAGAGGGTCTTGCCTTCAATTTATAAAAAAAAACACAGAACACGACAATCTGTGAAGCGCAATAAAGCAAGGTGCAACAAAACAACGCACAATAAAAAGAGGTATGCCTGTATATACTATAATCCTGAAAAGGGATCTAGTTCTGAATAAGATGACAAGTTAGAAGGCCACCAGCTCCTGTACCCTCATCCCCAACCCTTACTTACCCCCTGGAAATGCTACATAATAAAGAATGATAAAGTCTAGACACAACCATCAAACATAGAAAACAAAACTTAGAAAACCCGCAGGGAAACAGAGGTAACTGGATTCCAAAGTTGGGGAATGGGAGATGACACCTTACAGCAGGGATTTGTATCCATGAAGGGGAAGAGTGACCTTTCCACTTGTACCCTTCACTCTCCCCAACTTTGTCCTATAAGATCAGTGATGAAGCAGCAATGCCAGTTTTAGCTGGAGGTGCTACAGCCTGGAGCCAACAAGCTCAGCCCAGCAGGCTGGTCATGAATCACCTCTTCACCCTCCACCCTCACCCAGAGAGAACCAGAGAACCAAAGCTCAGTCCTCAGAAATAAAATTTTAAACTACTTTGGATTTTTAAAAAATTAATAATAATAATAAACCCTCTTATTGATCAAGAGAAGACAGGTAAGCTTAAAAATCTATAATCAGGAAAAAAACAACAAGGCTGTAGTTACAATAGTGATTTTCAAAAGGATTTAGAGGAGATGAGAACAATATAGCTTCTTAATTTAATTCCTCTGAATCCCCACATAAAAACAGACAACTAGATAGCAAAATCAAATCCCAACGATATTTCCAACGAAGCAAGGTATCCTTATGAACTCCACAATAGTGTAAGTAGATGACTACAAACCATCAAGATCCATAAGACCAGAGGTTGACATCTGTGTGGACAAAGCCACAGGACATCTGATGGGCCTGAGGAAAGGCGACCCTAAAATGCCCAACAAGCACTCACTGGCAAGTGGGGAGGACTATCTAAGAGCAGCAGCTGAACTGGGATGTTCAGCCCACTCCAATAGGAAGTCAGCCCACAGTAACTAGATTTGAAGGGATCATTTCACCTTTATAATGTATAAAGAAAAAAAATGCTAAATGTTCTATTCCTTAACAACATAGGCAGTT